CTTATATATATATATGTATAAAGCTGCTGAAGGGAAGCTATAGCAGAAGCTTCTTTACTATCTCTACTATTATTTTTTCACTGTATCCTGAAGAGAAAATTGTTGATATTAATAATAATTTATGGTCTGTCTTTGCATTCTCTCTTTCACTTCCAGGATGAGACCAAGAATGTTAAATACTGACATACAGGAATTGTAATATAATTTCAAATTAATTCTACTTTTGTGGTGTTCCTTCTTTCAAAATAGCTGGCCCATAATATTTACCAGCAAATATTCCAAAATACTGTATCAGACAATCATGTAAAAACAAATCAGTGAGGAAACTTTTTTTTTTTAATTTAGGCTAGTTTATGGTTTCTTTATACAAACTGGTGTTGCAGATATTAGTATCTTGATTTTGTGTGACTAAAGACAATATTTTGTTATTTACTCTGATCTTTTTTTTTCTCCTTAAACTTTCTTATATCCACAGAAATACTTTATAGTAGTGAAGAAGTGAATTATAAGTTGTGTTAAAAATAAGATTTCCATATCTGCCCTTAGGTTCCTGCTTTTAAATATGTATAAACTGAATTACAGTGGTGAATTTTATCAAAAAGCAGGGTTTTTTATGCTAAATCATAAAATAAGGCTTCTATTACTTGTCATGCAGCTTTTTATGCTTCAAGTCTAGCTTGGTTACTACTTCTTTTTATCAGGATATATGCTGTCAATCTGTGACAAAAAGTATACAAAAGGCTGAATCTGAGAAGAGTGAGAATTAAACTTGATTCAAAACAGTACTGAACACTGAAAAAGTGTTGTTTAATAAGAAATGTTTTTATGACTGAAGTTGTTAATCAGTGCCTGTTACCAACATGATTGTCCTGAATTTGATGCTAATTAATCTCTCAAGATTCTTTCTTTATACTTCAGTCTCTTAACACAATAAATACACAAAAATTAAAGCTTTAACTCTTCCATGGAGCCTTCCTCACTATTAAATAACAGTGAAGATATTTCATCTTCTTGTTAAAGGTGGCTTGTTTCCAAACCCTCTTTCTGCTCTTCCAAGCTCATTTTCTCCTCATGGGTTCTTGTATAGATAGAGTGCTAGGGAAACAATGTAAGTAAGTAGAGCTACATCTTCTTGCAGAACCTTGGTAACTCATCCTTAACTGAACTAGTGCATCATCTCTGCATAACAGTAGAATTGTGGAATGACAGGTCCTTGATAACAGGAAATGTGTTCATTATGAAAGTAGTATTGAATCGGTTCATTGCCATAAACATATAAAGAAGTCATACAGCAATCAAGCATAGGTTGACAACAAATAGTCAAGAGCCTGACAGATTAATCATTCCTTCTTTAATTTTGTTTAATATACTCATTGATTAATAAACGCCTTTCCAGCTTTAACATACCAAAATCTCATAAAATTTGGTAGAACTTGCATGAGAAGAAACTGAAAGATACACAGAGATAAGCAAGGTTTCCTCCAAACTGTAGTACTTTTCAACAGAAAGGATATAAAGTTCTTATTTAGACCCTTATCTTGATCCCACTGAATTTATAATTAATTGTAGTGAACTTCAGATAATACTCTTGCTGCAGAGAGTATCTGATAGTGGGCTTTATTTATCTCAAGACAAAGCAAAAGTACAAGCTTATAAATATTTAATCCTTTCTATTTAGTTTGGGTGAATGAATCTGTATAGACCTTGAGAAATAAATATAGCATTTAATAACAGAGTACCTGTGGTGGGTTGACCCTGGCTGGACACCAGGTGCCCACCAATGCTGCTCTATCACTCCCCTCCTCAGCTGGATAGGGGAGAGAAAATGGAATGAAAAGGCTTGTGAGTTAAGCAGGGAGAGATCACTCACCAATTACTGTCACGGGCAAAACAGACTTGACTTGGGGAAAAAAATTAGTTTAATTTGTTGCCAATCAAATCAGAGGAGGATAATGAGAAATAAACCCAAACCTTAAACACACCTTCCCCCCACCCCTCCCTTCTTCCCAGGCTAAACTTAACTACTGAATTCTCTACCTCCTGTCCCAGCAGCAACACAGTGGGCAGGGAATGGGGGTTGCGCTCAGTTCATCACACATTGTCTCTGCCTCTCCTTCGGAGGACTCCCCACACTCTTCCCCTGCTCCAGCACCAGGTCACTCCCACAGCAGAGTCCTCCATGAACTCCAGTGTGAGTCCATTCCACGGGCTGCAGCTCTTCACGCCCTGCCCCAGCGTGGGTCCCTCCCATGGGTGCAGCCCTTCAGGCACAGCCTGCTCCAGCGTGGGTCCCCCGCGGGGTCACAAGTGCTGCCAGAAACCTGCTCCAGCGTGGGCTCCTCTCCCCACGGGGCCACAGGTGCTGCCAGGAGCCTGCTCCAGCGTGGGCTTCCCACAGCCACAGCCTCCTTGGGGCACCCCCTGCCCCAGCGTGGGGCCCTCCCCGGGCTGCAGGTGGAGATCTGCTCCTCCGTTCCCCTCCCTGGGCGCAGGGCACAGCTGCCTCCCCATGGGCTGCCCACGGGCTGGGGGGAACCTCTGCTCCGGGCCTGGAGCACCTCCTGCCCTCCTGCTTCACTCACCCGGGGGCTGCAGGGCTGTTTCGCTCACATATTC